CTTTCTTCTAGCAGGGAGCAATTAAAGAAAAAAAAACAATGACATAAGAGAGAATGAAGACGTAAAGAAAGAGTATCAATTTGTAGCCGGTGAGGGAGAGATGCTAGTGATTCAAGTTGGCCTATGAGAGAGACTCAAACAAGACTAACATTAGTTATCTCAGAAGATAGCGAGTCTAAGGAGCCAATACTAGAAAAGTGTCAACCCCTATTGAGTTGTCGAATGTCATTGATAATTTATCTTTCAGGTGGTTGCCACCGAGAGTGGTTTATTATGCCATAAATTTTATTACAAGATTGATTCTTTCAGGCAGATTTGTTTATCGAATTCGCCTAGCCAAGAACGATGAGTGGGAGAAACAAATTAAATATTTAGTGACTCGAGGCCTTGTTTGTGAGAATCTCCATCCATAGGAGTTCTAGCTCTTGTTGTGCCAAAATAAGATGACTACTTATTCTATCAGGAGTTTCATGACAGACTTGGAATGACATATATTTTAGAGTTGCATGGAATGTACTTGAGCTTAGATTTTGCAGTGTTTTTGTCTCATAAGTTACAAGATTTCTTATGGCGATGGTAAAGAGACAACAAAAACTTATAAAGAAGAAGCCTCTTCTACCTGAGAAGAATGATGTAGAAGCTTTCCCGCCGGATTGCCAGATTCTGCGGGATTGCAAAAACTGCGCGACCACAGGTGACTAAATAGAGGAAACTACCTAAATTTTTTGTCTTTTTTTTTTTCTATTTCATTATTTCTAATTAGGTAAAACTAAAAGGACTTGGGCAGGTTTTATAAAAAATGATTTTAATCTATTCAAGTTAAATGAAAATATGAAACTCAATAGGACACATTGGAGAAAAAGAATTCATGGAGCCGAGCCCACCTAGTGGAATAAAGACTTTGTTGTTGTCTTTTTTGTCCTTATTTCTAATTAGAATCATTTCTTTTAGGAGATTATTTATTTATTGTTTTGGAGATTGTATCTCTGATTTTCTATCTTGAGGAGTGTTGTATCATTTTCTTTTGCAATTGGTGTGTTTTTTGCTTGTGCAGGAATAGATGGTGAACCTCCTTGACATTCATACCACACCGTTTTGTCTTTAGCCTGGTTTTCAACCGGGACAGCCTCCAGACGTTGTCTAGCCCCCTCCAAATATCTTCGATTGCCTATATTTTCATTCCCTTATTATTCTTCTACCATCTTTGTACATCTTTTTGTAATCTTGTTGCTTTAATTTATTGCGAAATGCATATTTTCACGTCAAACTTTCCAACACCTAGGAGCCCTAAAACGGCATCACAAATGTTCACATGAAAGACAATTTGATGACATTAGAGAAGTTGAAAAATAGAGAACCTGGTGGTGATCGTTCTTGATTCAAGATGCTGAATTTCTTTTTACCTTTTAAAATAAATCCTGTATCTGGAATTTACTCTATATAGAACTCAAAGGATTGATGCGGAACACCAACTGCTGTCCAACTATAGAACTAGCGCTCCGGGACAGCCCTCAGCAAAGAACTCTAAAGCGCTCTTTCTGTATTCTGCCCTCAACCTTTGTCAGATTTCATAGTGTTCAGCAATGGATCACTAGATATGAACGAAACATCTTGGAAAACAGCTAGACAGATAGACATACTAAAGGATAGTGTCTAGGGATGCCAGGGATCGATTGTGGCAAAGTCGTGGACTCCACTGCTATCTCCTCCCCCACGACACCTCTCCTAAACAGGGATCCCTACCCAAAACCTTAGGCTAAACTGAAAATAAACTTGAGAAACTGATTTTTCTCTAAGTGCATAGGTCATAAATAAGCTAGCACCCTTAGACACATTTTCTTAGCGTAAAATTAATAGGATTTTTAGGCGATTTTTATGTAATTCCACCCAAATGCAAAAAAAAA